ACCATCATTATTTGAGCAGTGTGACCCGACATAACTACATAGGCATTCCTTCAGCCAGTGACACAGGTATCCAACGATCAAACCCATTCCTTGAGCAATGTGGCCGACTCTGCCACGATATAGCATGTAAATATGTATAATAATGTCTGCATCTTCCAGCCGGAGCCGTGCTATTTTAGGCCGCTCGAGTAAAAGCCGGATTATCCGGGGCAGAGTCGGGTTCATATGTGGTCTCCGGGTCCATTGAAGATTAGTTCGGCACACTTTTAAATAGACTGTATGATGGTAAATGAATAACAAATATTATTGCAACAAAAGTTGTTCATTCAAAAGCAGTCAACAGAGGCAGAGAAGAAATATTCAAATTTGCAGTTAGAAAGTTCATCAGAACTTTAGGAAGCGGAATCCGGCTCCCCGCCTTGAGATGTTCTAAACCGGAAGGCGCGAGATATTTGCAGTGTTATGTGGTATTAAACGCATGCATGGCGATCTATGAATATTCATCAATGAACATACGCGTTTCATGTGTAACCGCCTGGAACAAGTTGTCTTGAATGAGTTAATGCTGGGTGGACTGAGCCATACTTAACATACGGGCATTCATTAGCATCAACGCAGCCTGAAGAAAAAGTGTGATGAGATCCGGTTCTTAATTCTATTACCGAAGGAAGACAGGTCTGCAAAGGAATTCAACACAGATTGCTTACTTTCATTCGCTAGAGCAGCTTACTACAGCGAATACTATTGGTCTCAAAATAAGGGCCCAATCGACATCTAGTTATGACGCGGTGAACATAGTAGTCTCGCCACAGCTCGGGCCGAGTGCACCCCTCCTCCCACCCACCCTCACCCCCACTCGAGTTGTGGCGAGGGTAAGAGTATTCACCGCATCCGAACTAAAGGTCGCCTGGGCCCTTATCTGGAGACCAAAAGTACATTTACCACGACAAATCAGCCTAGCGTCTGAGGACGACATCCCTCTCTCTGCATTGGGGAAAGCCTCGACCCCCGACAGCTAAATATAGCTGCAGGCGTGTCAATAAATGATGAGCACCGGCCCGAGCCGTCACAGTCACTCGGGGCACTGACCTCGTAACTGAAGATCCATGGGTGTCCGCCAGAACCGAGAACCACATTTTATTCCAACATATTTCCACAGATGCACGTAAGCATTTTCTACAAGGGTCTGTCAACGGTTTTATGACAATTTTAGGAAGTTGGGTCTGAATCGTTGATAGCTAAGTTCTGGGCGATTAAATTCGCAAACGACAGCACCGAATGTTTTCTGTTCATGATGGTCTGTCTGTGTCATGAAACTTTCTAATGTAACCGCCTTCCAAATGAAATGAGACTTAATGTTCTGGAAACCGCCGCACGCCGCACATTATTCCTGGCACCCTGTCTGCCCATACTGTCTTGGAAAACTCCCAGCAAAGGTCGCCAACCTCTTCACGCGTCTCTTGCTCGCCCCAACTATCCACATAGATGCGTGGCGGGATTCGTATGATTGAGTGTCTGTCCGTGTCTGCCTGTCTGACCGTTCCCCTTGTGGTTGCTTGTCTGTGTCTGTCTAGCCCTCTTCTGTTGGTCTGTTTCTATTGGTCTGTCTGTCTGTCTGTCTGTCTGTCTGTCCGGCTGTAGGTTTACCAGTCTGTCGGTTAGTCTGCGTGCTTGTCCGCCTGTCTACCTTTCTGTTGACTGTCTGTCCGCCTGTCTCTCCGTTCCTCCCCGTCTGTCCCCGTCCCCCTACCACAGCGTTCTCTCACGCGACCGATCTCGCCGCCGGTACTCGTGTTAATTTCCCAGAGGAGCCCCATCGAGGCGAGGTGCTGAAGGGGCGCACAGTTACACGGACCCACGCCCCGGGGAGCACACAGTCCCAGTATCGCCGCCGCAGACTCGACGCTAAATGTAATCATCAGCTGGCGGTGGTAGGACGGATGGGTCTCATACAGCGGTCTCAGCCGTCAGATCTAATTAGGGAATATAATGAGAGGATGAGAAGACCGCTTTGTGGTCAGGTTTCGGCATTATAGATGATGGAAAAGTCTCGGTGATTGAGGGATGCCCTGATACAGGATTGTCGAGCTCATAGCTCAATGTCTTACTAAAATTGTCAGAGGTGATCTAATATCGTCACACTAGACCCGAAAAGATACGTAAGAGGAAAAAGATGAAAATACAGCTCATATTTGTCCAACAGTAATTCGCTTATATGTTCCACACACTAGTTTTTTTTTTTTTTGCTACCACGGGGCACATCTACATCCACTCACATACTCCCTTACATCGATCTTTATTTGACAGGTGAGCTTTTTGATTAATCGAAACGTTCCTTGGGGGGGGGGGGGGCAGAGTGTTCAGCTATAAAACAGAGGTAGTTTACCCTGCACACCACACAGCAGTACCTCTCACAGGCGTAGTAAAATGGAGACAGTCAGTAAGAGTCCCCTACTCACCAGACCATGCCCTGACAGGTAGGTAGTATAATTCCCTACAGTACCCTACTCATCAGACAATGGCGACAAGTAGTATATTCCCCTACTCACCAGACCATGTCCGGACAGAAATGTGGTGTGATTTCCTACAATGCCCTACTCACCAGACCATGCCCTGACAGGTAGGTAGTATAATTCCCTACAGTACCCTACTCACCAGACCATGCCCTGACTAGGTAGTAGAATGCCACTCACCAGACGATGCCCTGGGCGCCGGAGCCGATCGGTTTGAGGTTCTGGTAACGTTTGAGGATCTGGAAGCGCGTGTCTCCCACCTCGACGGTGTAGAGCTGCGAGTTTCGCGAGCCGGCCGCACTCTGAGCCATCCGGCCGTTATTGCGAGGACTCAGCAGAGGCATCGTGACGTCACCCGAACTGCCGAACACAGAACGCCATTGGTCAGTGGGGTTGCGAGACGTCACACAAGCTGCTAAGCACAATGTATTATTGGTCAGAGGGGTGTGGTGACGTCAGTAGTGATGCCGAACAAGACAGGTCATTGGCTAGAGGGGTAAAGTGACGTCATTGGTGCTGCGAAACATCGAAACCTTGATCAGTGGGACTTGCGACATCAGTGCCCAGAGGACAGTGGTTGTCACATGAGGTGATCGTGGGAAAACGGTAAAACTGTTGTTTGAATTCATTTATTGTCTCTTCCCAACATTCTTCTTAAATTGAAAATCGTCTTTTCCTGATGTCAATTGCGGCGCATTACGTTTTGACCCAACGGATCCATCAAGCTAAATTGGCGTACATTCGCCGGAAATTGGTTCTGGATTATGATATACGAAAATAACACGCGATTATTACCATATTCAAGTCAGCTGTATGGGGTCCGATCCGACCCAATCCAACGTCGCATTTCACGCAAGTGCACGACATATAACAACCCAATTACGGGCCAATTATGAAGAACAGCCTTACTACCTACCAACCTTGTAACGCAACCAGTGCGGCGGATGGAAGACTAGCTAAAGTGCTATATCTTTGATAACATGTCAATAGCTAGTACGTGATAATCCTATAAAAGCTTACGAAAATATCCACCGTTATTATTGTCAGGGAAGCAAGAGGTTGTTTCCAGCTATCGCTGTTATAAAAAAGAGTGTACGACATTAGTACGAAACATGACGTGACGTAAACGTTATAAAAACTACAGACGTCACGGGCCAGCGTAATAAACTAATATTCCGACGAGACTCCGAGCCACGGTAACACCAGGAGAGCAGGCGTCCTGGGCAGACGGCTCCGACATCAGGAGAAAGGCCGCCTTGGGCAGACGGCGGCCCACACCAGGAGAGCAGCCGTCGCGGGCAGACGGCCCCGACATCAGCCGTCATGGGCAGACGACCTCGACACCAGGAGAACAGCCGTCCCAGGCAGACGAGCCCGACACCAGGAGAGCAGGAGTCCCGGGCAGACGGCCGCCGACACCAGGAGAGCAGGAGAGCAGCCGTCCTGGGCAGACGACCCCCGACATAAGGAGAGTACCTAGCCGTCCCAGGCAGACGACCCCGACATCAGCCGTCCCGGTCAGCCGGCCGCCGCTAACCGGTGACCGATGGCGACTATTTCTGAGGCCCGCCGGCGGCGGAAGGAATCAGCACAGAGCGGTCACTGAGGTCGGCCGAGCGGCGCCATTTCGGGAAACGCCACCGTCAGGGGCCCGGCGCTATAACCAATGGCGGAAGGAGCTGAGAGCCAGATATAATTATAGTAACCTATCCCGACTGATCGGCTCAGAATGGAAGGTCAGCCGCCAATCTCGGACGCCGCAAATGGTTGGACGGATAAATCGGGCAACCCCGCCATCAATGGTATGCCCAAATTCTCAGCCGCAATGCCTGGACCATTTCACAGTCCATCAGTAGTTCCCGTACCGTAACCCCGATCATAACCTCTCAAAGGTCAACCGCACCAGGCTAGCCCAGAGTCTTCATAACCCTTCATAACACGCCAGGACTCGACCGTCGCCGGCGGCAAAGTCGGCCCACAAAGGATTCCGCTGAAAAACGGGCCACCCTGAGCCGTATGGAGCGTGGCCGGCACGCGGGACAATGGAGGGGCTCAGCGGTGGGTCAGGGGGTGGGAGGTGGCCGTTGGATGAAAGGTGGCTGGGTGCAACGATAAAAGAGGGTGAGAGGGACAGCCGAGAGGGAGGAAAGAGAGGAAAGAGGAGAGGTGGAGGAAGTGAGAAAGAAAAAAACGACAGAACGAGAGAGGGGGAGAGAGAGGAGGAGAGATGCGTAAAAAAGAGGCAGAGTCGTACGCATATGTCAATGAACAAGCAAATGAACCGATACACATATTGACAGAAAGACAAAAGGCAGCAAACAACCAGACAGAGTGACAGACACAAACAAACAGACAGTAATAATGTACAAAGAAATATATGAGAAACAAAAGTTGTATGCAAACACACGAGGACTGAAAGGCATAGGCGGAAACACAAAGACATACATATTACTTTCAGGAGGAGTGATGAGATTAGTTTCGGCAGATGAGTCGGCATGAATGGCTGTAACGACACTAACCAGCAGCGCAGAAATAGGGCAGCAGACGCATAAGGAATAAAACAATGAAATAAGAATAAGCGAGAGCATTGAATAGACAGGAAATTAGGGGAATGATAGAGGAGCGAGGAATACCTAAGGATGAGGATGACAAGAAGAGATAGATGGATAAAAGGGAAGTCAAAGAGGCGAGAGCGAAGATATATGTAGAGATAGAGAGAGAGAGAGAGGGGAGACTTGAGAGAAGATAGAGTGATAGAGATAGTGAGAGAGAGAGAGAGAGAGAGAGAGAGAGAGGGAGAGAGAGAGAGAGAGAGAGAGAGAGATTGGCAGAGAAAAAAAAATGGAGGGAGCGAATTAACAAACCGTACCAGCGCGAGCCAGAATAACCCAGCCGGAAATACTCATGGCACGTAACCACCTCAGCCGTGCCGAATCGGCCCACACGGCCCCAAATGTATCCGAACGGCGCGAGCCGCGGCAATCAGCGATCTGTGTTAGAGTTCAGCGCCGCTGGCCGGTCCGACCTTTCCCACAGCGCGGCTCGGGCCTGTATACAGCAGTGGCGCCCGGATAATACAGTGGGGTGGTTAGCAGTCCGGGGGTTGGCCGGGGCATTGTCTGCTGATCCCCGCTCAGTATGACTTACTTCAAAGTTTTCAGCACTTGAGTTGCTAACTCGTCCACTCCTCGCGCCAACTCTGCGCGCGGCTCTCTCTCTCTCTCTCTCTCTCTCTCTCTCTCTCTCTCTCTCTCTCTCTCTCTCTCTCTCTCTCTCTCTCTCTCTCTCTCTCTCTCTCTCTCTCTCTCTCTCTCTCTCTCCAAACATTTTCTAAAGCAGCCCACACGAGCCACCTCCCCCAATTCCTGTGCGATGGACCTGCCCAGTATTGGTTCTTCTGGATACTGCGAGAACATGGGATGTCATAACGGTTTCCATTATTTACCGACTATCGAGTCATGTCGTCGATATTTGCCCTGTGTCTCTCATCCCACCGCCAACCTCGACCCTGACCAAGTCCTCGGCCAATATCGCCGACCGGAAACGATCCGATGACGTCATCGTCCTCTGACGTCACTGGATCGCCTCCGGCAGCGGCAGCCATTCATCAGATCGCCCGGGGGGAGGGGGGGGGGGCTGAATTACGGCCGTCGACATCGCCCCAGAGGAAGATGAATTGTACCGGGACTCGTACCAATCTGGGTGAGCGGATAATGGTCCGGTGTTACATCGGAAATAGCTGTTATCGAGGCTATTAGCCGTGCGGTACGAGATGCTGGAGTGATTGGTCGTGATTGGTTTCAGTGTATGGAGTCGGTAAGTGATTGAGTTTTTAATTCGCTAATGAGGTTTTAGCATTCGCCAGTCGTCCGAACATGCCATTCATCAACCCAAGGCACGCAGTCGGGTGGAATGCGTTAGGTCCTTCCCGTTTCATTCCGCATTGAGATGGAGCTTTCCAGCGAAGGCCAATGAAATGTTTAGGATGCTGACCCTCATAAATCGCACAAGTAGAGCTAAGTAGTAGGTCACAGACAAAGTAAAACTAATGCTGGGTCCGGTCGCGATCTGGAAAGCTCGCGTATAAGGTAGTTTTTGTCCAAAATACCTACCTACTACTACTTTGAAATAGGGAAATGGACACATGTTCATATAGATATGTAGCACTTCCATCCGAGTAGTATCCGAGTAACATCCGAGTATCCATCCATCTGATGAATATCAGAAATAGACCGAGTAACGTGTAAAATGTCCTTTCGATCAGACGAAGTGAAATAAGGTGGCGAAGTTATTTTTCTACGGCAGACGAAGTGAATTGAAAAAAAACAGGACGTTACAAATACTGAGCATCGAATCCGTCATCTACAAAAGGAAATGCATATAACGCATCGTCAACAAACGTATCCAGCCCCGACCGACATGACCTGTCAGCGCCGTTGCGCGAAGTTCACTCAGCGGCGAGAACCCTCAGCTTTCCGTCCCGAGCCGGCCGTATCGGCTGAAGCGTTCTGTTTTCATCCGCGCCCGCACACAAACTTTTGTCGAAAGCACGCGCCGCCGAGCCGCGAGCTGCACCAACAGTCCTTTATCCTCTGCGCTTCTGACAGGCCGGGCGTGCCCCAACAACGGGTGACCTTGAACCAGGGCATGGGATAATGACCCTTAGTGCAGTCACGTGCTATAAGTGGGGCTCAGCAACAAAGCACGGTGTGAAGCCTCGTCTATTCAAACCCTGACTACGGAGGAATTTCGTAGAGGCTGTCGCTAAGCTGGATGGACGGCCAAGTCCTTTCAGCGTGCGACCGAGCCCTGATGAAGACGGAAGAGCGACCAGACGCCGCCGTCAAAGCTGCTATCGAATGCAGGAACAGCATCTGCTTCCTGGAGAACAATCAGTCCGGTCGCCGCCTACATTCAGACAGACGACATGGACGACCATTGCATGCTACCAATGCCGCTACTTGAAACAAAATAAGCGAATCGAGGACCTGAATTATTCAATGCAATTGAGCTTTGAGCTAACTCGAGCGAAGCTGTCCCAAGGGCGCATCGGCCAATACGTCTAGAAAAATCAAATGAAATATTGCAAGTGATAGCGCAAGACGAGACACCCTGTATCGGCGCAGAATGTCTCGATAGTGAGTGCTGCAAACCAATGGAGAAATACAAACACTAACGTCGATCGAGACCTAAAACTATAATAAAATCGTAATAAAACGCCTGTACCTATATCACACACGTGAAAATGATTAGCTAGCAATCGGAGTAAATATAAGGGAAGGTCTGGAACCACAGGTGAGACTTCTGAAAAAGACAGGTACGACATCTGAGCCCAAGGCGCCCACTACCAGTAGGACCAT